CACATACTTCCTTATAAGATAATACCTCTGATTAATTTAATTCTAGTCAAAAACAAGAATTCTCTCAAGACCATCCACACCAGCTTCTTGACCTTCCAATATTTGTTATGGTCAAGTTGAATAAGTATTTCTTCGCTCCTCCCATGAGTTGGACCGAGGCTTAACTTATTACACACACAAAAATAAATCAACAACTTGGTCCTTTCCTACATTTTTCCAGCTTTGTCATTTTGTCTAGGAGTGTTCTGCTCAGTGAGTCCAGACATGGTCATGCTTGTTAATAGACCAATTCAAAACTCTATTCACAGATTTCTGAGCAATCTTTCCTAAGGAACACCTGGTAAAAGATATTGACATTCAAGGGAGGGCGTTTCAAAAGCCACTGACAGAGCCAGTTAAGTCCGAGCCCTGCCATGATGCTGCTTTTCCAATCAAAAGGAAGGTCCACTCTCCACAGGATGTGGCATATCGCCAAGCATTTAATGCTTTGGGGCAAAGTCCGCCAGCTTCAGCTTCTCCTGCCTAATTGACAAACCAAAACCCTGATGGAGCAAGGTTAACAATTTAGCTTTCTTCCACATGGATCTGGTATTGAGACATTCCCCTTCTCATAAATATTCACTTTGATATAGGTATGGTGGGGTTGTTCTCAGCCTTCACAAGGAGAGCAGATGGCTGAGAAGGTGCTTGAGAAAGATCAGAACAAGGTACATGGCGGGCGTTCATCCATTTTTGAACTGTGATCATTTTTCATAACTCTCACTCTTACGTCTGCCAAAGTAGTTTGGCAAAACTATTGCCCATTGGAATTCTGGGCAGGCCTCTGCACTGCCGAGAGGTTTCTCCAAAACACGTTTGATGGATTGGATTAGGACATCAAACATTCACACATCACCGGATATCATGATAGACTCTGCAGCTCACTTGGGGATTTCAGGTTTGCAGACCATCATAGATGGAACACAAATATCAAGAATTATGGCAAAAAGAAGGCTAATAAGAACTCCACAACAGCGATGCTGTTGCACATCTATAAAGGAAAAAATTAAATCCTTAGCAGGTCAATTTCTTTCCTCTATAGAAGGAAGACAGATGTGCTCCTATAGCCTAAACAGCCCTACACAGCTTTCTAAATTCTAAGTGGACTCAGATTTCATCCTCATTCTCCTGCATTTTCTTTTTCCTTTCTTTTTTTTTTTCATTCATTCAAAACTGTGTCTTGCACTATTGACTTCCACTTTAGTTAAGGAAAAAAAAAACACTCAATTACTCACTAAGTGACATGACTGAAATAATTTCCCAGCATTCATGCTGTCCAGACTGCATTAGTGTGTAGGGCATTCTTGAGGAAAATTGAACAGGATCAGGATATACATTCTGCACAGATATGTAAAGCTCTAATTGTACATGTGAATGTTTGTGGGTGTCTGTGTGTGTGTGAGAGAGAGAGAGGGAGAGAGAGAGTCAGAGATCCCAAATAGCAATGTGATTCAGAGGATTTTTTTTTATAGTATTCAGGTTTTGCTCTGGTTCTATAATTTCATAAACCACTTAGGTTTACTTTACTCATGTATTTTACTAGATTAAAAGGAAATAGCAACACAACAACAACTTTGATCCTATTCACTGGCCAGTAAATACATACATATATATGTATATATATATACACATGTGTATATATGTGTGTGTGTATATATATATATATATATATATATATAAATATATATTACCTGTCTTTGAGGTTTAGCAAAATAATCCGTTCATCCTAGCTCTAAATTGTGATTTAGCTGGATTTCTTAGCATGAAATATACACTTAGTCTAGTCTAGACTAGTCTTCACTAGACTAGTAGTTTTCATTTCCTTTGACATTCAAGTCAAGTCTTGACCTACAAAATCTGTATTGGGTCACATCACACTGAGTGAAGCATCTTCCTTTCTTATCTGTCCTTGGGTGGGTTTCCTGGTCACTCAGTCATGAGCATACCAACATTCTATCTGTTTCTAATACATTCAGGCATAAAGCAGCATAGGTATAGTTCCTTCTCTTTAGTATAGCAAAGGTGAGATTGTTCCACATGTATTCATGAGAGGAAAATCCCAAAAGGACAGACATATCCTTCTTTGCTTCATGTATGATTGTGTGACACTGTTGTGTAACTGTGCTTAAAGTGCAAAAATTCCTAAGCACTAATTCATTCAATAAATTTGAAAAGAAATAGTATTACCAACTATTTGTTATTCTCAGCAGAGCATTCCAACATAAAAATGCCATTAAATAGAAATTTGTGGTTTGGGAAACTCCAAGGGTTCTTCTTTTAGCCATATTTGCACATTGTCCAATGGCTCCCATGCTGGGGAAATGAGGTGACCTTAAAATGACATTGTCTTATAAATTTCCCTCTCTTCTTTGCAGAGAGTATGGAGGATGGGGATAGGAGAAGATCATGGGTATCGAATTCTACACATAATGGGAGAGTTGTCTGATTTGCTAGTTAGTCTTACTGAATTGTTTTTCTCTCACTTCTCAATTCTTTGCAAGCCAAGGGATGGTTGTCTGAGGGAGAACAAGGAAAGGTAAATATCCAGATCAAAGAGCTAGAGCTGGAAAGCCCTCTACAAGTTTTTTATTCCAAACCCTCATTTTGCAGGTGAAGAAAGTGAGACTTAAATAAATTGGTTAAGTGACTTGCCTATTTTTATATTTAATAAATGTCATTGATATAAAAAGCAACATTTTTAAAAGAATGCCATTCTCCTACATTTCTGTTCTTTCCTTCTACACACTTGTACCAAAAAATTGACAAGTGGTCAGGGCGTAATATACATTTAAAAACAGGTTAGGGATCATTATGATGCCCTTGGTCCTTTCCTACATTGCGCAGCCCAAAGACACAAACATGTTTGATGAGGATCTTTCATGTATCTCACCTTCCACACCTGCAGAATTAAAAAAAAAAAAAAAGAAAAAGAAAAGAAAAGGAAAAGGAAAAAAGGGAAAAAAAACAACTCTATTACAAACTGGGTAACCAGCTGGACCTGGAAAGGCCATACCATTTTATTCTTCACAAGGTTTTCAAACAATAAAATGTTTTTTTTTTAATTGTAAGCTTCGAATCCCCACCCTGCCCCCGCTGACTATCTGCAGCTGCTCGTCTTCCTATTTCCAAACCCAGTGCTGGTTCAAATGAGCCTTTTGCAGATGTTGATGCCTTTTTATCACTGCCGAGCAAGCGTGGCTTCCATCTGGGGGAGTTACCCAATTTCTTTTAAGTCTCCACATACTCTAAAGAAACAGACAACGATCTGTTTCTCAAATCTACCTCTTAGGTGGGTTTGTTCCTCCTGGAAATTCCAAAAAGATCGCCTGGGCCCATAAATCCCCCCTCTGGGAAGCTGTCTTCTGAGATCATCCTCCCCCTCCCAAAAAGATTTGGAAACATTTCAACGGCTTTAAAATGTATTTCTGGAGTCATTCCTAATTGAAATTCCCATATAATTTAGTTATTAAGAATTATCCAACTGGTTCATTCAGTTTTCAGAAGAATGAAATATGTATGTGTGTTTTAGATGTAGCCATGGATATAGATATAGCAATGGATATAACTATAGCTAAGTAAAAACGTGGGGGGGGGGTGTTTACATATACTCGTGCTTTTTTTGGTTTTGGTTTTGACACAGATACATGATCTCATTTGGTATAGAACTGATCTACACCAATTTCTGGTGTAGACAATCCCTCCACCAATGCACATTAGCAGCTCATCTATAACCTATAGTCTTTGAGAGTTACCTAGAGTAGTGGTGTCAAACAAATAGAAATGGGACCAATAAACTGTACATAATAATCCCTGCAGGCTGCAACACCGACTTAGAAAAACACATATCAGCATTATCTATGTCCTAATGTATTTTTTATTTATTTTGTTACATATTTCCCAACTACATTGCATCTGGTTCAGGATGCACTCGAAGCGTTTAATGTGACCAGAGTGTTTGACATCTCTGGTCTGGAGCATATCTGAGAGGTTTAAAGTCTTGCCCATGGTCACACTGGTAGGTTACAGGGACAGGACTCAAACCCACACGTCTTCTTGGTTACAAAGACCCCCACTTTCATCTACTCTGCCATAAACACACGAACGCATGTAAACATTTAGACATATTTAAATGACGTGAAGGAGAACAGAGTGCATGTTCCATTTTATCAGTGAGGGGAAAATTCTACCAATGGAAATGATAAGACTGAGGGATTAGTTCCAGCTCAATTGCCAGTAACGTAACCTCAAAAATAAAAACCACTTGTCTTCTTTCATCTCCAGTTAGTAATCGCTAAAATAAAGGGATCTTAGGATGAGTTCTGCCATTCTACAACTCAAGTTCTGGAGCTGGAGCTCATTGAGATACGACAGCAGGTATGAGATCTGCCTTAGCTACCTGACAGCTATAGCATTAGCTAGACTTTCAAAGAATAAATGTTACTACCTTCTGTGAATGGCCCAAATGGTACACAGGACAGTGTGCAGGGCTTGGGTGCTGGGAAGATCTGGGTTCAAATCCCACTTCTGAGATATTGTAGCTGTTAGATCCTGGGCAATTCACTTAAACTTTCTGAGTGTTGGCCTCCTCATCCGCAAAGTGGAGAGAATAATATCTGGAACATGTATGTCACAGAATTGTTGTAACTGCAAATGGATAAGGGGTGTAAAAAAAAGAATTAAAATATTCAGATATCAGTATTTCCCCCATAAGAAGGATATCTTAGATGATCTTCTAAGCTCCTTCACAGCTCTGAATATATACTCTTATGGTCCTAAGAGAATAAAAGTTTCTCGAGGGCAGGGACTTATATATTTTTGTCTTTGTATCCCCTGTGCTCAGCACAGTGCTTTGAACATGATAGATTCTTTTTAATAATATTTTATTTTTTCCCAATTACATGTAAAGACAATTTTTAAGTTTCAATTTCGGAAAATTTTGAGTTCCAAATTCTCTCCCTCATTTCCTTGAGATGGTAAGCAATTTGATATAGGTCGTACAGCATATAGCAGATTCTAAATCCTCTTGTTAAATTGATTTAGGCATTCACATTTATATAATTCTTTAAGGTTTACAAAACACTTCCATCACAATGATCCAGAGAAGTAAACACTGAGAATATTATTATCCAAATTTTGCAATTGAGGAAAAGTGACTTGCCCAGGGTCACACAGCTAGTTAAGTATTTTAGTCAGAATTTGATTCCAGGTTTCTTGGCACCAAGCTCATGCCAAACAGGCTCTGATGGTTGGTAGAAAGGCATCACATTCATTCCTGGTGTAGCAAAATAAAAAGAAAGAAATGTGAAGATCAGTAATCATTCAAACACCAAGTATTTGTTGAGTGTCTTACTATGTGATTGTCATCAGGCTAATTAATAAGGAGGAAAAAATGATCCCTTTCAATAAGAAGGGAGTCTTTTCCTTGGGGAAATCAAAAACTCACATACAAAGAAGAAAACTACTGAAAACTAAATCATAGAGTCATTACCAGGCCTAAAATCAGAGCCCTAGAAGGGAGATACAGGATCATTTAAACAACCTTTTCATTTTACAAAAGAGGAAACTAAGGCCTAGAGTAACATGACTGGTCCAATTTCACACCATAACTTATTGCCAAAGCCAGAACTGGGATCTCAATCATCTGAGCGCTGAGACTAGTCTGCAGTCACATTAGATGGTAGAGATTCGAGGTGGCTGAATGTAAAGAGACTGTGTCAAGATTCTTCGTGGTGGACATTAAATTGAGTATCTAGAATTCAAGGGCACCTAGAGGGCGCAGTGGATAGAGTGAGAGGCCTGGCGTCAGGAAAACCTGAGTTCAGATAAGACCTCAGACACTTAATAGCTGTGTGACCCTGAGCAAATCACTTAACCCTTGTTTGTCTCAGTTTCCTCATCTATAAAATGAGCAGGAGAAGGAGATGGCAAATCACTCCACTGTCTTTGCCAAGAAAACCCCAAATGGGCTCATGAAGATTCAGAAACAACTGAACAACAACATCTAGAATTCATAAATACCAGATCAGTATTTCAGTCCACATTGTACTGAAATTAAATTGCAAAAGCAATGCAAGTACAGAGGGGCAGGTGAATACTGAGGAAACTGAAATAGTTGGAGAAGACTCCAGGGATAGGACTTAAAGTAGAAATAATGAAATCTTGCATTCTACTTAAATACTCAATTCTCAAATGGATCTATGTTCTCACCAATGTGGATGTTTTCTCCAACAATGCAGAACAAAATGCATTCATGCCTGTCCCAAAAATATTCTTGTCCATGTTCTTCTATTGGTTTGACCTAAGTCCATCCAACATGCTGGAGATCTTCCATACTTTATCTTGACATTTCAAGAACATGGGTAGAGCACACAGGTTGTATATCAATTGTCTATCTATTCTTCCTTGTGACCAGTCCATCTTTTTCAACCATCCCTTCTTTGATGGTGTCATTTTAAAGCCTTAAGACAGAAAAAAAAATATCTTGGACTAGCCTTTATTTTCTTTCAAAGTTCTTTCACAAATATTGCCATTTTTCTTTACCATACTACTTGACAAAATAGGATTATCTCAAGACAAAGAAGAGCTAATTAAGCTTTTAGATGGGCCTTAAAGGTTAGATAGCATTTAATCAAGCACAAGGTAGAAGAAATTGCCCCAGCCAGGGAACAAAAACAAATGAGCAAAACATAACAGGAAAAGGCATGAGCATCATGTGTTCAGGGTATAATGAGTAGATTTGCCTGAGCAGAACAGAGAGCATGTATTGGGCAAGAACAGAAAATAAAGTTAAAGAAATAAATTATCAGCATCTTCTCATTAAGGATTATACAGTTAGAACTAGAAGGAACCTCAGCATTCAACTTCTCTAACCACTTTATTTCATAGATGAAGAAAATAAGATTCTAGATGAAGAAAATTAGTTTAATTACTTGCCCACAGTCACACAGGCAATTAAACAGCACAAATGGTTCTTGAATCCAAGTCTTCTGACCACTAGTTCAATAATGATTCCGACTACACCATGATGCTACACTCAGGCTGAAAACCAAACTATACATCATTTCACTGCCCATATTCAAAGTTAGATGGTAGATTCCAAACTTTACTCTATCTTCTACCAGTCCTGTGCCAGAGTTGGCTTACACTGGCTCTCAAGAACCAATTGTTAAATTGTCAGCGTGAGCATTTACACCTTGAAAATCAGCAAATGCTTTAGGGCTTAGTTCATTGTTTTATTAATTATCCAGACTTAAGAAAGTAATGGGTAAAGTGTTTATAATGTAGATTAAACTCAAAATTGTGAGGTTTTCTTTTTGAGAGACAATCATTAAACATTTACCAGGATACCCCAGGCTCTACTCTTGGTTAAGAAGCTTAGTATCAGGACTTCAACATAAGAGAAAAAGTAGGAGCTTATGACAATATTAAAGGAAGTTTGGTATGGTGGATATGAGTTAACCAAAGAATTTTGAGATTTAAGTCCTCACCCTGCCCTACTCCCATGGAGTAGAAGCATCTTGTGGTCAGGAACGGTTACTTTCACCCCTGCATCCTTTTGACTTTTGCCCCAACCCATAGCATAGTGCCAGGTATATAGCTGGGCTTTAATAAATGTGTGAGTTAATTGACTAATTAAGCCTACCTATTATTACCTGGTGATCTTGGACATTTAGTTTCTCCTTCTCCCAGTTTTCAGAACCTTAAAATCAGTTTAATTGTACATTGTGAAGTAGGAAAGAATAGGGAGGCAATATCTGTTAAAAGAAAAATAAAAGCAGTATTGATTGGTTATTTTTCATTTGTTTTGTGGCTTGAAAAGATGTCATCAAAAAAGTGTTTGACTAAGAAGATGGAAGGGCACACAGTGAGAGTGAGTTCTATCTTTTAGAAAGCCCCGGTGCTCCACCACAATACTGTCAAGAGAGATCGAGGAAAGTCCTCAGCATACTGTCTGAGCCCCTGTGGCAAAACTATGGGAGAACATGGAAAAGAGTACCAGGAGTTAGATGGATGGATTTTATTCTATATTATTGCAGCAAATATCCCCTTTATTGGTATCACAGATCCATTTGAATATTCAGTATTAGAGATTACATATTACAATGTATTGTGATTTTAGCACACAAAATACACTGCATTTATAGAGTTCAAACATGTTTTGTCTCAGTTTTGTCTGACTATTGCCAACCAGTAGGAGAAATACCCTACTAAGTAGGGTCTTGAGTCACAGATTTTACTAAGGAATCAATCCTCGATGACAGAATAGTGAAATCCAGGTAAGGTACCAAGGAAAGAGAAATGTTGGGTCACTTAATGATCCTAAGCCACAGAACTTCTACATAATATCCATCTGTAATCATTCAGAGAGGGTACTGTGGTATGAAGTGCCAAGAAAGGAGCAAGACAGTGGCTTTAACTGATTACTTGGGCCAGGGACCAAGAAACACAGGAATTCAGCAGGACCAGGATGGGTCTCTGTGACTCAAGAAGCATTGTACTAGTGCTCTGACCATGGGCAAAATATGAGCAGATAGCTTTTCAAATCAAATCTTCCTAACATAAAACTAAACTGATAATGAGAATCAGCAGGTAATGATAGCAGAGATCCAGAATACCTTCATTGTCTTAAGAAACCTGCTAGAATTTTTGGTACACCTCTTGCCTCCCTTCATGGGATAGTAGGTATTATTAACTCTAAGTAGTCTTTTAATGATCAGGAAATACAGGAATTTTAAACTGCATGTGGCATCTATCATTGTGAGGAAATTCTGGTAGGCTGTTCAGTTTATAACAGAGAATGGGAACACCTTTACTTTGCTCCTATAAAAGAACACAACTGAGAAATATGAAGTGAAGTTGGATTTGGAACCTGAAATCCAAGAACAGGATGCCCTTTCCCTATGTCTGTTTCCTGGATTAAGTATGTCATAGAGTCTAGAGATAGAGTACCTTCTTGAAAGTGTTAAGTGTAGTTACGTCATAGCCACCAGCATCCCACTGGACATCTGCCAGTCCCAAATCCACCCATCGCCCTAGCTTCTATTTTGAATAGACAGGTGCTGGTGGTCACAGGGAAAAGAATGGAATCTGTGGAAATATGGGTTTTAACTTTAGATTTATGACAAAATTTAAGACCATAATATTAAAGGGACGGTCCATAAATATTTAGCAAAGGAAGTGATGATCACAGAAAGCCATCTAGGCTTCAGCAAGAACATGTCATACCAGACCACCCTTATTTCCTTTCTTTCACAGGTTTATAAGACTGGTTGGTCATGGGAATGAATGGCAGATATAGTTTATCTAGATTTTAACCAAGAATGTAAGTTTTTTATACTGTTCTTTTCAGAAAAAATGAAGAGATGGAGATTATAAAATAGCACTATTAGGGGGTTTTGGAACTGGTTGAATGTTCAGACCCAGAGAATAACTACTAATGGTTCGATGTCAGTTTGGAAGGTGGTCTCCAGCAGAGTGCCCCAGGTATTTCTGAGTGGCCCTGTGCTATTTAACATTTTCATCAATGACTTAGAAAAAGGTTTCAATGACACCCTTACCAAATTTGCAGATGGTACAAAGCTTGAAGAGGTAGATAATATTAAAGGACAAAGAATCAAAAAGATTTTTAATAGGTTATAACAGTACGCTAATCTTAATAAAAAGAAATTGAAGATGGATAAATGTAAAACATTGCAGCTGGGCTCAAAATATCAACACAAATACAAAGTTGGGGAGATGTTACTAGACAATAGACCACCTGGAAAAAAAAAGTATAAGGGTTTGAATGGACTAAAACTTCAGTAGGATAGAATAGTATGATAATACTGTCCTCCAAAAGCTAATTCAAGCTTAGACTTCGTTAAAGGAAATAAAGTTTCCATGACTGTACTGTATTCAGCTCTGGACACCATATAAAGTCTCTCTTTTCCTTTAAGACCTAGCTCAAGCACTTCCTAAAACCTTTTTGGTCCCCTGGTCCTCACAACATATGGCTCCTTCCCTCCAAAACGACCTGGTATTTATCTGGTATTTATTCACTATTTTATGCTGTATATGCTTATGTTCCTGATTTTCTCTGCCTCCAATTACAATGTAAACTCTTGCCAGTAGGTGTTGTTTCTTTCTTTGCACAGATCAATCTCCATTAATGAAAATAATGAATTCCATGAAGTGATTGCCTGTATTCAAATCCACACTTGTTAAATACAGTCATTGGTTTAAGCCCAATGGAAATATGCAGCGTGAATTCAAATAATGAAGCCGTTTCAGGGGGAATTTATTGTTCCCGCTAATTGGGACATAACTGTGCTTGTATGCCTCTTAGTACAGAGCCCACCACACAGTAGAAGCTTAATAAATGCTTGTTGATTGACTGATTAACAGTCAATTAGAAGTCAAATGAGATAATGAAGAGTCTTAAGACTATGCCATTTAAGAGTCTGTTAAAGGAAATAAGTATGTTTAGCCAGTAGAAGAAAAGCTATTACATTTTCAAATTTTGACTAAATAGTCTATGGCCTCTTCCTTCAAACCTGAATTGTGTTATTTTGTATGCGAAACTATTTAGATTGCAATATTTGGATTAAAATAGTGAATTTTGGTCTTTGTTTAAAGATAACTTTTTACCTAATTTGAGGTTTATCATTTAATCATTCAGAATAAAGAAAGAGTTTTATTGGTTTATAATCTCCATTGAGTCACTAAGGATCTGTAACCTTGGATGGATCATATTACCATTCAGGGCCTCAGTTTCTTTGCCTTATTTTCCCTTGGATTAAGTCAGGCTCTAAGATTCTAAACTTACATGAGTCTACCAAGATGTTTTCCTAGACAAATTCTAGAAATTCTCTAGTCCTGTAATCTACTCTACTCTTCCCTTCAATTCACTCTCGTAATTAGTTCATTTGTGTGAATATATACTTATAATGATAATAACAGACTCTGTCTTCTGTGATCCAGTGCACTGGCCTGTTTTTCATTTGTTTAGCCATGTCTGACTCTTCATGACCCCATGGACCATACTGTCCATGGGATTTTCTTAGCAAAGAGACTAGAGTGGTTCGTCATTTCCTTCTCCAATGGATTAAAGCAAACAGAGGTTAAGTGACTTGTACAGGGTCACACAGCTAGTAAGTATATGAGAACAGATTTGAATTCAGATCTTCCTGGCTCCAGGCCCAGCACTTCATCCATTGAACCACCTAGCTGCCTCCTAAGCAAACAGCAGTTAAGTGACTTGCCCAAGGTCACGCAGGCAGTGTCTGAGGTCATATTTGAATCCAGGTCTTTCTGACACCAGGCTCAGCACTCTCATCCACTGAGCCATCTAGCTGCCTCCAATTTGCCAGTTCATTTGTCATTTCACAAAGAAGACACTCCATCTTTTAAATCCAGGCATTTTAAAACTGGCTACCTATCATGCCAGGAATGGTCTCCCTCCTATCCCTCTATTCTGGGTTCCTTCAAGTCCCAGCTAAACTCCCATCATCTACAAGAAGCTTTTCTTGATTCCCTCTTAAAATTTAAGTGTCTTCTCTCTGCTGATTATTCCAATCCTTTCCTGCATAGAGCTTGTTTGCACATTGTCTCCCCCATTAGACTAAGAGCTCCTTCAAAGCAGAGCCTTTCTTTTACATTTCTTTAAATCTCTAGCACTCAGCATAGTACCTGACATATAGAAGGTACTTAATAAATGTATACTGCCTGACTACTGTCCTATTAAATTGCGAGCACCTCAAGGACATTGAAGTCATTGGAAGTACTTTGATAGGTGCCCAAACAAATAAAAAATGCTATGTACCTTGTGAGCATTCCATGGATAGTTGTTGGCATATTTAGCCAGAAATCTGTAAACTTAGGAGAATGAACTGAATACTTATTTTAGTTTGTTGATTGTCTTTTTAAAGGTCAGTTCAGCACAACTGCTTGGTAATCAGTGACAATAACTGCTGGCTAGAGAATAGTCATACAGCCAAAACGGTCAAACTAGTTGAATGCATGGACACCTTTCTATGCCATTCCTACATTTATTTTATTCACAGGATGGTGTGACCAGAGTTGCATATAACTCCATTGCTTCAATGCTGTTATTTTTGAGGGGCACCTACGATGAACTAAGATCTACATATTCCATGCCCTCAAAAGGCTGACAAAATGGTGTTAGAACGTGGGATTTAAAAGTCAGAGGAGTGAGGTTCACATTCCAATTTTACCATTTTATTTGATGTGTGGCTTTGTCATTTCATCACTTTTGCCCTCAGTTTCCACATCTGGAAAACAGGGAGAATATCAGCTGCCTTACTTCCCTACCTCACAGTGTAATTATAAGAATTAGATAATGTATTCACTTATTCATTCAACAACGATTTATTTTTCAAAGTGGTATTCTATGGAAGATGTAATCATCATTAATATGTGCTCCCTACCCTTGTGAAACTATAAAAAGCACTTTAAAAAATGTAATGTATTGATGCCAGGCAATGGGAGCTTTCTTTCAGGTTGTTGTTTAGGTGTTTTCAGTTGTGTCCATTCAGTTGTATCTTGGCAAAGATACTGGAGTAGTTTGCCATTTCTTTCTGCAGGTCATTTGACAGATAAGGAAATTGAGGCAAACAGGGTTAAGTGACTTGCCCAGAGTCACACTGCTAGCACTTGTCTGCATTTGGATTTGAAATCAGGTCTTCTTTACTTCGGGTCCAGCACTCTATCCACCACACCACCTAGCTGCCCCTTCTGTCAGGCAACAGCAAAAAAAAAAAAAAAGCATAGTTGACACATCAAAGCCTACAGTATATGACCCATATGTATTGGGATAGATTTCTTCTCCAGATAGAACCAGGTGATCTTGTTACATTTAGAACAGACATGAGGTGTGATATTGGCATGCATGAAGAAAGAATTTCCACTAATTACATGTCTGCACCAAATGAGCTATTATTTTTTTCAGCCCTCTGAAGTCATTCTTGGGTAAGTGATGTTCGGGACAGTGCATTTCCCCAAATGACATCATAGGCTGAGCTTAATTAGGGCGGTAACACCATTCTCAAGAGCTCTCTCTCTCTCCCCAACCTTCAGCTCCAGAGCTGTCCGGTGACTTGGAGCTCACATGCCACCTCTCTGTTTTTCTTCTTGTCTTCTCAAAGAAGACTGTGTCATTGCAAAGTGTCTTACTTCTTGGATTGATGGTTTTAATTCTGGATGCGAGGGCTGCCTCAAGTTCAGTCAATGCTGTGCCACAATGGTAGCATTAACATCCTTGCAGAGTTACCCTGAAAAAGTCATGTGGGCTGTCACTGAGCAAGAGAGATTTACAAGCAGCTAACAGACAAATCTCCTTTGGATCAGATATTCAGGAATATTTTAAGAGACACGATCTATTTTGACTTTCTTTGGGTTTTTGATTTTTTTTTTGCTTCCCACCAATAAGCCTGATGAAATATAGAGCAAATCCATTTTATGTATTTCTACAGCTTTCTCAAACCACAAGCATCAAGTAAATCCTTGTAGATACGTCATGATTTAATCAGTCATCTATGGTCTGCACCCTCTCTGACTATGGCTGACCTATTTGCAGAGTATCCCCATTAAGGAATGCTTCTTCTACCTTCACGTAAGTAATATTTGCCATCACCTGGTTTTTCAGATTAGGAGTGTTATGTGAATATAGTGATGCTGGCAAGGAGTTTTGGAAGCAACTGTGTAGATCCTGTTAGTCATGTGTTTCTATGGTTATTTATAAATATTATGACCAACCTTAGTCAATATATGATGCTTACAAATTATTATTTTTCTTAATTGCCAAAAGCTGTTTTCTTTCAAAGGTTATTTAGAAATACTCTCAAATTCCAATGAGTCCCAATGAATATGATTTGACAGACTTAGTACATAAATCCAGTGCACTTTTTTAAAAATCAGAACACAGGCTTAAATCATTATTTCCATCTACTGTTCGACGTAAGTAGAGAGCTACCCCAAGAGATGTAAAGGGGAGCCCTTGTACAGCACTTATCTCTCTAGGCTCAGGACGTGCTTGCCGGTATATAAACAATTCTAGTTTCTGGTGAAGAAATGCATTGTTGGGATATGCCATGGGAAAATCACCATTTTTGTGATTTGGGCCCAGGGGAAATTTTGGTAACCCAATTCTTCTCTGGGTCCTCAGTCACAC